GGACTAAAATGAAGAGATATGAGAAGAAACCCCCAAACTACACTTTCAAGCAAGGTCCCTTCCAATTCTAACTCTATAATCTCCTACGTACTCCTTTGTAAGGCTTGAGATTGAGTAAATCAATTAAGTCACTCCATCCCATCTAAAGTAATAATATGTTACACCAACAAGTGCAAACACATACCAATTAATCAATAAATCAATCATAGGCTTTAGACTAAGTGTGAAAAAGTTCTTGATTAACTATCTTTATTTTTCCCCTCCCCAAAGAAGGCTACAATTAAGTGTGTGTGTGTGTGTGTATACACACACACACACACACACACATATACATATACACATACATGTGAATATATGTGTACCTATGTTATGTAGAACATAGACACACATATGTGGATATGTAATATACACAAATATATAGATACATGTGTGTAGATATCCATAAGCATACACATACACAGTCAAAAGCATATATGTAAGACCGCATTATGCTTATTTCCACTTGTCATCTATTTCTCTGAAGGTGGATAGCATCTTCCTTCATAAGTCCAAGTTTTTCCATAGTTTTCTAAATCCACCAGCTCATCATTTCCTACACCACAACAATATTCCAACCCAATCACATTCTATCTGGGAGATTGTCTATGAGAGTTTTCCCCTAATCTTCTTCATTCCCTCTATTCTTGGCTACATAGGTTTTATTTATACAGGAAATTTTTAATTTAAAATAATCAACATTATCCATTTTACACTTCAACATTGCTCTCACCTTATAATATGATTTAAGGTCTGATACAACTGAATCTAGTTCCTTCGCATCTCTTTCCTGGGTTTCCTTGAAGTTCCTGACCCTCTGTTCCTCCAAATGAACCCAAACCAAATGAACTGTTATTATTTTTTTCTGACCCATTAAGATAATTTTAGTAATTTAATTGGGATGGCATTACATAAATAGAATAGTTAGGTAGAATTGTCATTGTTTTATTACATTAGCTTTACCTACCCAGGCACAATAAATATTAGTTCAATTATTTAGATCTAACTTTGTATAAAAGGTGTTTTGTGTTTATATTCATATAGTTCCTGTGTCTGTTTTGTCAGGTATATTCTCATTTTTTTTTACCATCTAGTTATTTTATATGGTCTAAAACTATTGATTAATATGGCTCACACTTAGTGTAATTCCCCTATTTTTCTCTTTTGGGTAAATCTGATTTTAACTTTAATTTCATCCAAGATCATGATTACTATCCCTGATTTTTACATAATAAATTCTACTCCTTATCTTTATTTTATATTTGTGTGTATTTCTTATTTTTATAGCATTTCCTGAAAGCAACATATTGTTGAATTCAAATTTTTAATCTGCTATTAGTTTCCATTTTATAGGTAAATTCATCCCATTCACATTTTAAACTATAATTATTTGTTGTGTATTTTCCTCCTTCCTATTTTCCTCACTATCCTTCTCACCCTATTCCTCTTCCTCCTCACTCCTCTGCTTTACTTCTATCCCCTACCTTGCCCTTCTATTTCTTAACCTTCCCCCATTCCAAGAATCCCTCCCTTATCTATTCCCTCTACCCTATCCCCTTACCTTATTTCTTTTTGAATATAGAAGATTTTTATACCCTTCTAAATATATATGTATTATTCTCTCTTTATCCCATTCCCATTAATCTACATACCCTTCTACATCTGCCCCCTTATCCTATTCCCTATCCCTCCTTTATCCTCTCCCCCCCATCCTCTTACCCTCTTATTTCTTTCTGAATTTAGAAGTCTTTTTTATTCTTCTAGATATAAATATATATATATATATTTATATATATATATATACATATATATATGTATTGTTCTTTCCTTAACCCGTTCCTAATGAAAGTAGGGTTCCAGAACTACCCTCCCTCTTCCCCCATCTAATTCCTCTGTATCAGTTCTTCCTCTTGTGCCTCATTTGTATGGAATAATTACTCTTTTCATCTTTGCCTGAAACATTTTGCTTTTTAGAATCACATCATACTCAGCTCCACCCCACTCCTTCTAACTACCCAATTACTGACAATCTTAGATATACAGTTTACATTTCTATGGATAAAAAGTAAATAATTTGTCCTTATTGACAATTAATCTTTGATGCTTACCTTATTTCTCTGGGATCTTGTATGACAAATTTTCTATTAAATTCTGGTCTTTCTGTGATAAAATCCTGAAAATGTTGCAATTCATTGAATTTCCTTTTTTTCCATTCAGGAGTTTACTTGACTTTGCTAGTTATAATATTTCAGCTGTAACCCCAGTTCTTTGGCTTTTCAATACATAGTGTTCTAAAACCTTCAGTCTTTTAGTGTAGCCACTGCTAAGTCTTGTGTAATGCTAACTGTGGCTCTGCCATATTTGAATTGTTTTTTTTCCCTTGTTGCTCATAATATTTTCTCCTTAACCTGGGGGTTTTGGAATTTGGCTACGATATTTCTATAGGTTTTCCTTTGAGGATCTCTTTCAGGTGGTGATCAGTGGATTTTTTCTATTTCTACTTTCCTGTCTTGTTTTAACACTTTAGGACAATTTTCTTTAATTATTTCTTGTATTCTTGAATCTTTTTTTGATCATGGCTTTCAAGTAGTTATATTATTCTGTTTTCTCTTCTTGATTTGTTCTCCAGGATCAATTATTTTTCTTATGAGATGTTTCACATTCTTTTATATTTTTTCATTCTTTTTATTTTGTTTTATTGTTTTATGGTCTCTTATAACTTTGCTGGCTTCCCCTTGCCCAATTCTAATTTTCAAGGAGTCATTTTCTTCCTTCAGATTCTGGATCTTCTTTTCCAGCTGACTGATTTTTCATAATTTTCTTGTGTTTTCTTGGATTGTTCATTTTTTTTTAAATCCCTCAATTTCTCTTATTTGATTTTTGAAGTCTTTTTTTGAGTTCTATGAATTCTTTTTGGGCAGGTGACCATTTGACATTACTCTTTGGGGAAGGTGAGGTTTTCTTTTTTTTGCTTCAGTATCCTCTGAAGATGAACCCCAATCTTCTATTTTCCCACAGTAACTGTCTATGGTTGGGTTCTTTCTCCTTTACTTGCTCATTTTTTAAAAAAAAAAATTCTTATCACTTGTTATTACAATCACCTCTAATCTGGGTGCGGGAGTGCAGGGGATGGTGCCTCTGGTCCTTCTTGCTCTTATTTTTTGGGCTTCGTCCTGTGGCCAACCTTTGCACTCCTTTTCCCCTCCAAGCCACAGCTAGGTGCTTCCCCCTACCCCCTGGACAATATGCTGAAAATACTCTTGCTCCCTGAGATCTGTCCAGTGGCTATGGCCTTCAGTTCTCCCCTCTGGCCTGGAACTGAGACCAAGAACTCAGATCTTCTATAAGTGTGCACAACCAGCAAGGTCCCTGTCTCAATGTTTCTGCACTCAGCAGACATGTGCTGGTTCCTTCCGGTAGCTGCTGTCTGTTGTAAGCAGAGGTTCCCTCAATCTTCCCCCACTGAGATGCCCTACTCTCCAACACTGTTCCAAAAGTGAAAATTCTTACAGCTGAGGTTGGGGCAGCCTTGCAACTCAGTTGCCTCTAGGGCTCCTTGCTTGCCATTTCAGCAGAGCTAGCCTGGAGGGGTTTACACTTCACTCAGGCTGAACCTCCATCCTGGGATCTTGGGATCTTCTCCATTGTCCCAGGAGGACCACTGCTCTGCCCCAACTCTTCTTTATTTTCGCCACTCTATGTTCACCCTGAGGGGTTATTTGTCTTGTTTGTGGAGGAAACTTGGAACGCTTAGAATTTTCTGACATACTGTGCCATCTTTCCAGAATCCTTTCTCTTCTTTGATCAACTTTCATGACTTTGCACAGGAAGGATGTTTGGATTGGCTGAGGAAACTTGATAACACCCTTTGGATCATTAATGCAATGAGGGAGCTAATTTGTAACTCAATGTGAGACTGGGTATCTTGGACAGTTTGGATTAAAGATTGGTTATAAAGAAAAAAATCTCATCAAGGTACATGTTAGGCTTAACATTAGGCTCAGAATAAATTAATAAAGACTAATAATGGTATTAAATCATATTTAGTTGATTTATTTTTAACTGTAAATCTTAAGTATTTTAATAAATATGTTTTTAATATGTAGAAGTCTAGAAATTTTATGATTGAATATAGTGGGTTCAAGACCTTTTTACTTTCAAATGGACATGCATTTCTTTTTTCCAACCACATGCCCATGAACCATACCTTATAAAATAAAGCCTCTAATTCACATTGTATATTTATGTAGAGATTAATGGTGCCCCTGGAAAATTTTAAGAGATAGTTGTTGTCATTTCCATTTTACAGATGGAGAAGAAATTGAGATCTATCTTAAATCTCAATCTAAAGTTCGTTCCATGAGAGTCATCCATTGGATAGGGTTGAAAGAACATTTAAAAAGATGTTTTAAGCTCCTGGTAGTGCTTTGATTATCCCAGTCCATTTTTATAGCCCCTCCCGACAAATTAAAGGTATTACTTATCAACAGACTCGCACTGTGTATAGTGAAGACTAAAATCAGCTTCTAATAATAAGACAATTCTTGCTTAGCTGCATGTACCCATTTTTAAAAAATTCAGGTTGTTCAGAAAGGTGTTTGTTTTGATACACAAAATCCAGACATTTTATTCTCTATTATATATCATAGGAGCAATGCTAATATTCTTCCTTTTGTTTTCAAGAGATAATTCAAAAGTGGCTTATTAAAAATTACAATTGTTCTACATGTAATTGTATACTGCCATGAATAACAAGCACTTCTGCTTATATGTGAACAAAATTTGCCAAAGGAAGATAAGTCACAGTCAATTGAGAGAAATACTAATTGAGCTCCTGAAAAATTTATAATTGGAAAATTTGCACTCAGGTGTGATTGCTAAAGAACTAATTAACAAGGATTGAGATATTACTTTTTAAGAAGTTTGAGTTGCAACAGTGACAACTACTTTTAAGTGTTCCCAAGTCAATTACAGTAAAGTTTTCTTATACTGTATACCTCTTCCTCTCTTGAATCATTTGATGAACTACTACCAGTCATTGCTTCAGATTCTTCAGATGGCGTCTGCCAAGGTAGTTCATAGGGTTTGGTTGTCTTGTGTATTTTTTCTTCCCTTCTTTTCATCATTGCTCGATAGCTCTCTAGCTCCTCTTTTCTTTTTTGTTTTCTTTCTTGGGCCTGAAGTATCTCTTCTTCCTGAAGTCTAATCTGCTGGTCCTTCTCCCACTGTTGTACATAGAAAATTTGTTTTATTTAGGAGATTGATATATATGCAAGAACTATGTTAGAAAAACCTACTTTCACATTAAATGAATTATTCTCTGAGGATTCCTCAGAGACTATTAACAGTGACAGACTGGGGGGAAAAATTCCCTATTTCCAGACCATAGGTTCTAATAATAGAGATTGACACTTTTGAGAAGGTGATACTTTTTGACAGTAAATGGGGATGTTTGAAGTGAGAATGAGTGCATTTTTTCTTTTCTTTTCTTTTCTTTTTGGAGGCAATCACGATTAAGTGACTTGCCCAGGGTTACACAACTAATAAGTGTCTGAGGCCTGATTTAAACTCAGGTCCTCCTGACTCCAGGGCCATTGCTCTCTATCCACTGTGCCACCTACCTGCCCCTGCATTATTTTGATTAAAAAAAATCCTAGTTAATTTTAGCTTCTGAAAACTTTTCATTATTTTCTTAAGGAATTTTACACAGCACTGCACTATAAAAATTAAAGCAAGTTTAAATTTGGTTAGGAAAGCATCTAAATGATGAGAAAGATAATTCATTTTTACTTTTTGTAAAGAATGAAATCATTCAACAGAAGAAGCTCTATTTGGTAGAGAGTGGCAGTTTTATATTTCTGCATCCCAAGCCTTAGATAGTGATTTTTCCTATTTTTTCTCAATGGCAATACTTGCCTAGAGGGAAACCTGGTAGTACTCACAAAAAATGCTGAAAACACTAACCCAAGTGACAAAGTAGCACCTAGTAGTACATTAATATGTAATGTTGAAGAGAAAATTGTAGAGCAGAGGAGACCTATATTTATTTCTCAACAACTTTGTTAAAGCAGCCACTTGGGATCACTTGAGTTGGTTACATACTTTTTATTGACAGTAGCAACCTGGCTTCTGAAAAATCCTTTGGGGACAAGATATGGAATAAGTATTAGACAGCAGCAAATTATATTGTGCAGAACCTGCACTTGGTCCCCAACATTGGGAAATGTTTGTTTAAAAATGGATTTGTTAGCATCTTCTGTTTTTATATCACTTTCATTTCTAAATATGTCTTCCCCCTGCCCTCAACCAACCCTTGTAAAAAAGAATCAAAAAGAAAAGGATAAAAATGAAGTTTCACAAAACCAACACACACAAAACCCAAGTCTGACAATATGTGTACTATTCTACCACAGTAGACACTCAAACACACCATTCTACAATGGTCTTTCCCCTTCACAAATGAGGGAAGTGTATTTTCTCAACTTGTATCAAAGTTACTTTTATCTCTGAATACTAGGCTGAAAGGAGGAATGACTAACCCTGAGGGTTAGGAGTTAAGAGAGGCTGCATGGATTTTCCTGGTAAGCCCTGGGGAATTGCCATCCAAAATATCTAATGAAAGTGGGTCCATGCTACCTTGTAGTGACAGATGATATCAATCAAATTGAGTGTAATAACGTGGTCCTGAATTAAGGTAATATTAATATATTGCTATTTCATTGTATCCATGAATACTTTTTTATAATTATGGTAACAATCTGCAATTTGGGAGATTCCTTTCTTAGTATGCAATCACATTGCAGCACTGATGCATAGTAGAGTAAAAAATTTTCCCTAGCTCACAGCTACCCTGGTGTCAGATCCCAAGGCAAATGAAACCAAGTAGGTGCAGGAAGTTGTAACCCTAATTTGGTGTCTAGCTAAGTGCTAGGAAATGTTTATTGTCTGAGTTGGCTACTGCTTGTATCCATCAACTCATCTTAATCAAATGACTAGTTAAACACAGGATCATCTGGAAGCAAAGTTTAAGGATAAGAGAACAAATTTGTTTGGGACAAACATTGGTAGAATCAAGAGGCTCATACTTGGAGTGTGAGTGATGGGACATTTAGGTTATAGTATACCTAAGTCTAAATGGAAGACATTGCTAGTCCATCAAGAGCTGAACCAGTCAAAAGATTTTACTCAGAGAATTTACTTAAACAGATCAGCTAGAAATGGAAAGATAATAGGGAAAACAACTTCTAAGACCTACAGACAGGGTGAGGGAAATCCTAAGGCTTGCAACTTGATGGAGATAGTTTTGGGTCTAAAATTGGAAACATTACTTTCTTGCTAAGAATTTGCAGACAGATAGTATAGGACAGAACATTTCCATATGATCAATAGGTTGAAGATGGAACACAGTATGACTGAGCTGAAGGAACTTAGGGGGACATGCTTTGGCCCAGGGTTTTATATATCATAAGGCCTAAGGAAGTAGATTTCAGAAAGGCAGTTGATGCCACCTAGTTCCACTAACAATGGGACTAGAATTGCATTGCTGTAAAAGTCCAAACTAAAAAGAAGAATGTGAGGTAAGAGGGAGGTACAGAAAGGGACAAATTTCCTATAACTGGTAAAGGACCAGAATCATATTCTAAACAACTTTGTAAATTATGGAATGTTAACCTTTTCCACCTGCCACTGTCCTTATTCTTCACCACCCCATCCCTTTGTAGTATCTACTTCTAGAATGCTTTATAGGAAATACTAGTAAAGTATTTGGGACATTGGTATGTTACTGGGGAGCAGAGGAAGGAAGAAGCCCTGGAAGCCCTGTAGAATGAAGGGTTTCTGGAGTTTAGGAACCCTGTTAAACAAGTATAAGGAATGTCAGCTTAAGAACCTAAAAGAAGACAGTCATAAGCCAAGACCTAGACTTCTTGATGGAAAAAATAGTGGGGTTTCAGAATAGAGAAGGTTTCTCAAGTTCTACATTGATCTTACTGATTTTACTTGTGATTAATTGGTTGTAATTGGTTGGGAACTCCTGCTTTTGAGCCCAATGATGTAAAAATATTATTCATATACCTTTTTTCTGGCGTGTGTAGAAATTCCTAAAAAAAGACAGTCTCCTTCCCTCTTAATCAATCAACCAATCAATATATATTAACCACCTACTATGTGCTAGATACTAGATTTAGCCACTCAAAAATAATTAATCCTCTGAGAGAGAGAGAGAGAGAGAGAGAGAGAGAGAGAGAGAGAGAATGATAGAGAAACAGAGAAAGATAGAGAGATAGAGTGCCAGGGGGTTATTGATAAGAGACAAGGACAACTTTGTTTGAAATATAAAGAAATCGAGGCCAAAATAATCAAGAAAATTTAGATGCAATTTGAAATTTATGCTTTGTGAAGAAGCTGACAGATTTTGTGACATGCTTTAAATTATGTATACACACACATATATACATACACAATCTGTATCACATACACACATTCACACATATGTGTGTATATAGGCTATATAGAATCTATATAGATATATTATTGACCTTACAGTATTTCTTTGATTGAAAGGATTTAGTAATGTTAAATACCTAATGAACTCATAATATTTTGTTTTTATAACCAAAAACAATAATGTGTGATAACAGAACTTGTCCATAGAGAAAATTCAAACTCTAGATTATAGAAAGATTTCAAAATAGTTAAATAGTAACTCAGAGTCAAAATGGCAGCATGAGAAGAAGCAGTATAGCCTAGCTCCCCATTGTCCCTTCTCTACAACATCTGGGAAAGTCAGGAAAAAGTCATAGTGTGTTACTTTTCCAATCTAAGGTAGTTTAGAGAGACAGGCAGAGGTCTATAGACACTGGAGGCAAGATCTGGCCAGGAGTACATGTAGAGTACATGCAGTCTGGAGCATTGTAGTTTCTTGGGGACCGAAAGAGGTTTGAGACTAGAAACCAGGGCAGGAAGTACAGGGCAGAAAGAGATCCCAGAGTATCTCTAAACTAGCACTGGGTGCATGAAAAGTACCACCCAGCAACTCTTTTCTCTCACTACTCAGTTCCTAGTCCCAGATCCAGGGTGAAGAGCAGTGTTTCCACGCATGGGCCCAAAACTCAGTTGGAACTTGTTGGAACTCTAATCCCAGGAGCAGATCCATGATTCAGCTCTAGCCTTTAAATCAACATGTAAGCCTGTGGTGGAATAATCAGGGCAGGAGTTCCAGACCAAAGGACAGTTAGCAGTTCAGTTACTCTGAACCCACAAATCCTCAGCACCCCCTTCTTTGCACCTTAGGATCTTTCTCAACCTCTGAAATCTCAGTCTCTTGAATTTTGATTTGCCTTTTTGTTCTGACCCACAAGCCTGTATGAATTCCCTTCATGATGAATGTGTCTCTAGTTTATAAGTTTTATTTCAAAACAGAATATTTCATTTTAATTTTTTTCTCCATCTAAATTCCTTCTTAAAGATGGATAGAGCATATATCCCAAATTTTATGTACAAGAGATGCTTTTAATTTTTACCAAGTCTTGCCACTGTGGAATTGGGAAATGTTTAGCAAAATCTCTCACAATATTCTTTAAAAATAGTACAGTTATTTGGATTCAGATCTGCTCGAATGGCTGGGACCCAAAGTCATTAATGGTTCAATGTCAACTTGGAAAGAGATTTCTGGTGCAGTGCATAAGTAATTTGCCCTTGACTATGTGCTGTTTAAAATGTTTATCAAGGATTTGGATGAGGATGGAATGCTTACCAAACATGGACAAATATGAGTATTAGAGGAATAGTTAATACCTCAGACAACAAAATAAGGATCCCCAAAATACCTTAACAGAGTAGAATGTTTGACTCAATCTAGTATTAAATAGGAATAGATAGAATACCATTTATTTGAATTAAAAAAAATCACCTGTACAAGTATACAATGGGAAGACGACATAGCTAGAAATTGTGTAAGAGAGATTTTTTTTAATGACCTAATACACTACTACTAATACCACTGTTGTTATTTTGGTCTGAATCTGAATCAGTGTGGACAACTCTCATTGTGGTTTTCTCCCTGCTGATTCAGGTCATCTGTAACTTATGGCTTTAGGCAGGGGTAAAGAACCTGTGGCCTTGAGGCCACATGTGGCCTTCTAGGTCCTTAGGTGTGGCCTTTTGACTAAGTCCAAGTTTTACAGAACAAATTCTTCTATTAAGGGAATTTGTTCTGTGAAGTTTG